CTGTCCAAATTTTGGGTAATTTTTTGGTCCCCCCAAAAGGCTGGTCTAATTGTGGTTTTGTGTTATTTGGCCAGATTCAACTGCATCCATGCAGGAAGAGGTGTTGATTATCACATGTAAGCCTCCTTGTGAAATCGGTGCAATTTAGAGCCATCCGCTCCCGGTCAACGGCTAAATGCAGACAGCTTGTGTCTGGAGATTAGGTAAGGAATCTAGTGCTGCATTTGCAAACACAGCACCTTTGGCCAGTCCTGGGCACGAGCGTACTTCGGCACCACACTCCCGTATCTCTGTCATAAGCACCCACGTGCACACACGCCTTTGCACGCAAACACACGCACACACAGCAGTGTGCTGGTGGGTGGGTTTTTTTTTTTTTTTTTTTTTTTAGATTTTATTTATTTATCTGAGACAGAGAGAATGAGAGAGACAGAGAGCACATGAGAGGGGGGAGGGTCAGAGGGAGAAGCAGACTCCCCGCTGAGCAGGGAGCCCGATGCGGGACTCGATCCAGGGACTCCAGGATCATGACCCGAGCCGAAGGCAGTCGCTCAACCAACTGAGCCACCCAGGCGCCGGTGCTGGTGGGTGTTTAACTACTGGCTCTCTAGGAATGTCAGGCCCTGGTGTGTAGCGTTTGCCCATTTCCGCGGTGTCAGTGTTCCCGCCGCGGACGGTTTCAAGCTACCGACACGAAGTCACCGGACACGGATTCGGGAGGAGATGCGTACTGGTGGTGACCCTTCCTGGCCAGGCTTCCCTTCCAGTTCTGGGCAGGGCCCCACCTGGGGAGACGGTGAGGACCGCTCGGGCTGACCTAACCCTGGGTGAGGGAGGAAGCTGGGAGTAGAAGCGGAGCCGCCCGCGCCCTCCTGCCGCCGCCTTCCCTTCCACGGCCCCATTTTCTTACAGCGCAGGGAACCGCCTGCTGCCACTGGAACAAACTGATCTCTGTCCCCTGACCTCAAAATGGACCTGCTTGGAGCTGCACTGTCCTATAAGTGGGTGGGAGTCCCTCTGCTCTGTCTGCAGCCCAGGGATCCTCGGGGGTGGGTGTCGGGGCCTCACCATATGGAAGGTGGCCAGTGCAGGTAACCGCGGCCAGCCCCCTCCGTGGCCTGGTGTGGGATCCTCCCGGCGGTCCTGTACCGGGGGAGAGACCCCTTTCCAGCCAGCTGCCCGAGGTTTGGCTCTGCGGGTGGTCTCACTCTCTCTGGTCTCAGACTTCTCCCCGGGATGAGCCCCAGCCCCGTGCAGACACGCTGTCACCAGAACCCACCCGGCAACACCACCCAGAAACTGTAGCATTGTTTGGGGAGCCTCGGGGGATTCTGAGAGCTGGGGTCGGGGGCAAAGCCGAGCTTAGTTTAAGAAGCGCCCTTCCCGGGCGCCTGGGTGGCTCAGATGGTTAAGCGTCTGCCTTCGGCTCAGGTCATGATCCCGGGGTCCTGGGATCGAGTCCCGCGTCGGGCTCCCTGCTCGGCGGGGAGCCTGCTTCTCCCTCTGCTTCTCTCTCTCTCTCTCATGAATAATAAATAAATAAATCTTAAAAAAAAAAAAGAAAAAGAAGAAGCGCCCTTCCCGCACTGGGGGACACACAGGGTGGGCAGGGGCTGGGTTCCGTGCCGGCCTGTGTGCTCAGCAGTGCTTAGTTGGCTTTATCTGTCCCCTTGCAGCTGTGCATAGCGTCACCTGGGTCGCCATCCGCGGCCCCAGACTGGCGAGGTGGCTGGGTCAGGAGCGTGCGTGCGTGCGGCTGGGCAGGGCGGCCTGCAGCGGTCCACCTGTGCCCCGAGAGGTGCCCGGGCTGCAGCGGGCGGAGTAGCAGAAGTGCTGGGAGCGCAGGCACAGGGCCACAGCCCAGGCGGAAGCCGCCTGCTGGCTGCGTGACCTTCTCGAACAGGCAGAGAATTCATCCTGTTGTTTAAACCGCGTGGTCTGTGGTGCTTTGTTATGGCAGCTTCTGGAAACAAAGTGCCCCCGGGGGAGCCCTCTGGGAAGTGGTGAATCCTCATCACCATAGCTGATGACCAGCCCCGGGGAGTCTCCCACCCCTGAGCTTGCTTGGGGGGTACCGCAGAGCTAGGATGGGCCCTGTTCCCCGGGGCCAGGTCAGATGGAGCCGGGGAATCGGAAGGCGCTGGGGACCCCTGTTGAACCCCAAGTTTTCCAGCATGTGGGCACAGGGCCACCTGGGCGCCAGGAGGGACTATAGGTGTCCACACGCTTTGGGGCCCCCCTTTTTTTTTAAGATTTTATTTTACTTTTTTATTTGACAGAGAGAGGGAACACAAGCAGGGGGAGCAGCAGAGGGAGAGGGCGAAGCAGGCTTCCCGCTGAGCAGGGAGCCCGATGCGGGGCTCGATCCCAGGACCCTGGGATCACGACCTGAGCCGAAGGCAGACGCTTAACGACTGAGCCACCCAGGCGCCCTGGGGCCCCATTTCTAATGGCAGAGCTAATCCATGGAGGGGCTTCCCCAGGAGGGAGGGAGTTCTCATCGCAGGGGGCGGGGGCGCATCCAGATTTGCAAGGAACTCCTGCTCTGTGTTGGGGCGCTGGAGCTCCCCAGGCCCCTGCCTCTCTTGATGGGAGCCGGGCAGGCTGTCCTGGAACCCCCTGGGGATTAGAGGACAAGGATATGGTAGAGTCTGGGTTCAACCCCTCTGTAGCAGCAGGGTCCCTGGAGATCCCACCCCTCCCCAGGCTCAGCTTCCTCACCCCCCTGCCCCCACCCTCACTGGGCAAGTGGACCTGGCAGCTGCACTGGGAACAGGGAAGCCGTGGGCTAGGACCCCGAGCTGGGATGCAGGCAGCCGCAAGGCCCGGCAGCTCCGTCTCTCAAAGCCTCCTTCCTGTATTCCATGAGTCTTTACTGAGCACCTACTTCCTGTGTGCCAGGTGTTCTTCTAGATGCTGGGAATTGGTGAGTAAAACTGACCAAGTTCCCTGCCTTCGTGAAGCAGGCAAAACCAAAAAGGTAAGTCACAGAAAGTTGTTAGTCTGAGGAATCAGGGGCGCCTGCGTGGCTCAGTCGTTAATCATCTGCCTTTGGCTCAGGTCATGATCCCAGGGTCCCGGGATCGAGCCCCGCATCGGGCTCCCTGCTCCGCGGGAAGCCTGCTTCTCCCTCCCCCACTCCCCCTGCTTGTGTTCCCTCTCTCTGCTGTGTCTCTCTCTCTGTCAAAGAAACAAAATCTTTAAAAAAAAGAAAAAGTCTGAGGAATCAAACAACAAGGAAGGAGAGGAGATGCTAAGTCTTAAGGAGGGTGGCTGGGGACAGCTGCACCTTGAGGGGACTGTGGTCAAATTCCCAAGCAAGTGGGGAAGCCAGTGCAAGAGACAGCAGGGCATGCCTGGTACAGACATAGCCGTGCAAAGGCCCTGTGGCAGGAGCATGCCAAGTGGGTTCCAGGTAGAGCAGGGAGGCCGTGCGGCTGGAACAGAGTGAGGAAAGTGAAGAGAGGCAGGAAGGGAAGTCAAAGGGCCAGAGAATGCAGTGACTGCAGCCTTGGAGGACTTGTTGCTGGCAAGACGGGCAGTGACAGCAGGGGTTTAGCAGAGGCATTGTCATGCTGGCGGCAGAGGGATGGGGGAGGAGCACGTGTTAAGGCCACAGCTGCAGTCATCCAGGTGAGGTGGCGGGCTGAGACCAAGGTGATGCTGGTGTGGGTGGTGACACATGGCCACCCTCTGCTTATATTCTGAGCGCGCTGCCGATGAGCAGGTGTGGAGGGTGAGATCGCTGGGCTGCTGGCCCATGTATTAAGAAGATGGAATCTCCCAGAGATGGGACAGGTGCAGGAGGGCTGGCCTGGCGGAGACAGACGCTTTCTGATGCCCAACGGGCAGAGGCCCAGCCCTGGAGAGAACAGCTAGGGAACAGTCAGCATAGAGACAGAGAACCAGGAGGCTGGACAAGGTCAGCCTAGGAATTCAGGAGGAGAGGAGAGGTCAGAGCACAGACCCAGGGAAGAGACAAACTGGAACAACCAGGTGAATGGGGGTCCTGGGAGTGTCCTTCAGCTGGAGGGCATGATCAGCGTGTCCCCCACTAGATCTGGCCACAGGGAGGTCACTACTGACCTTGAATTGGGCAGCTCCAGGGGAATCATGGGGAGAGGGGCAGCCTGGCTGGAGAGGGACCCGAAAGGGTGGGAGGAAATTAGGAGACTGAGAACGACGGGAATCCGAAGGGAATCTTGAGTCCTCTGAGGCAGGGTGGGGGCGGGGGGGGCTCCTCATGTGTCCCCGGGGCTGAGACTGGGCCGGCTCTCAAGGAGGCAGAGGGGCGCTGGAGGAGTCAGCCGGGGGTCAGGCAGAGGCGCCTTGAACTCTAGGCCCCACCCAAACTATGTGATTCTGGGCCCACTTGGAAATAGGACAGGACTGTCAGAGACCCCGCCGGCTGGGCCATGCAGCCCTGCCCACCCCGCCCGTCTCTGGGTGCATCCCTCAGTCCCCGAGCTCCAGTGGGCCATCCCTTCGTATTTGACCCCACCGTTGGCCACATCTGGTGGTCCAGAGGTGTGCTCGCCACCTGACTGGGCCGACTGGAGGCCTCTGAAGTGTCTGGAGCCAGGACGCAGGGGGTCTGGCTCCCCAGTTTGGCTGCTCTCTTGAAAGGCCAAGGACGAAGACCCAGGTGGGTAGGTTGTGGGAGCTCATGTGCAACAGAAAAAGCAGGTGCTGTTGATGGGCTGAGCGAAGCAGGAATAAGTGAGGGAGCAGTGGCCACACCGCAGAGCGCCTGGCCGGGTGGGTTCCTGTTGCTCCTGATCATCCACTGGGTCCCAACAGTTGCATCTGCCACCGCGGGGTGGGGGTGGGGGGATCAGCACGTCGGGGCGCCCATGAGCTCTCTCCTCCCTCCCTCCCTCCCATCAGGGGCAGGACCCTGATTTTCCACCTCTCCAATTTCCGCCTCCCTGCCCCTCGTGCTCCCAGAGGCCTCTCTGCTGAAGGCAAAGCAAACCACACGGCTTTGAAATCATCAATCGAGTTTAATACATCATACAGAAGGAAAACTACATTGGCATATTTAAGACAAACACTTTTTCTCTATCCTCACTATCCACTGGACGGTCCTCCTTGGTCCAAAACACTAAGTCTTCAAGACACGTCGGCAGCTACCCCTCCCGGGTCCAACCTTCCATATCCTCCCATTACATTTTTTTTTTAAATTTAATTCAATTCAATCCATCCAAGAAGAAAAACAAACAAGAAGGAACCTGAAGACATTTACATCGCAAGCCACGCGGTAATGCATAATTGGCATCTAGAGTAACCAATATAGAAGACGTGTGTCTCACAGTTCACTTTGTTCATCAATAAAAGAATATAAAAATCTTGTTCAACCCAGTGTTAAGTGTATTAAAATAGATCTGTATCGTACAGCACAGTTTCTCCCGGAGTCGAGAAAATGACAGGAGGGACCATGGCAGTCTGTGGGATCCTGGCCAGCCTCCCTGCTCTGCACCTGTCTGCGTGCGTGTGTGTCTGGGGCACCATGTGATATGCTGGGTGGGAGCCCGGTGGCTTCCGGATGCTTATCCTGTTGTGCTACGTCCCTCAGGACTGGAGAAGCTGGTGGGTGGACATCCCGCCCCGGGGCGCGGGAGCCCTTGTGTGACGCGTGCGCGCCCTCAGCTCTCACGAACGCAAGGAGACAGCAAGAAGAGGGACTCTTGCATCTCCCAAGGCCAAACCCTCCCGAGGCCACTGCCCCCTCTCCCTCCCCACCCTCGCCCCCCCTTCTGAAAGAACCCTCTGGATCTCTCCAGTTTGGCAGTCCCCCAGGAGGGGTTTTCGCATTCGTACCTTGCAGCAGAGACCACTGTAAGCAGGAAAAGAAGTCAGCAAGCATCCCTGCTTCACATTAAATATCTTACAATAAAAACGCCATACAAAAATGTAAAGTTATTTTTGGCATAAGTGTCTGTACTGGCAAGAAAAGAGGAATGGAATACTTTATCGGCTCTTCGAAAGGAGAAAAGAAAAGGCTTCAGTCATAAGTTGAATGATTCAACCCCGAAGAGAAAACCCGCCAAAGGCCTCCCCTGCATGCTTGCAGCTCCATCTTGCCCAAAAACTCCATGAGAAAAATACATCGATGGCAAAATGAGTCCAGAAGGTCGGCAAAGGGCAGGAGGCGTACAGAGCGGGCGCTCCGAAGACTCGGGGGGCACGGGGAGGCCCTGGCAGGTGGAGACTGCAGAGTCCCTCCCCGAGGGACCCACCTCGTAGTTTCTTTCAAGTTCAACGGCTGTGACTCTTAATGCTAATAATACTGACAGACAGGGGCCCGTGTTCTGGGAAGGGGCTGGAGCATCCCGGCCTCGAGCCCCGGGGCCCCTGAGCGGGAGGGGCGTGGAGTCCTACCTAGATTCGCTACCCACTGCTCGTCCCAACTACCGCTACTACTCAGCTAGGTCTTCGGGTTCTTGGCTCCCCTCCCAACCTCTGCCCTTCTCTCTCCCGGGAGCAGCACGAGGCCGAGGAGACAGCTGTGCCTGGAAGCCGGAGGCTGGGCAGCCCCCCAACAGCCAGGGGCTGACTGTGCGCCCGGCCGTCAGGCGCCCCCCTGCTTTTCTTGGTGTCCCATCTAAATGTGGAGGGAGAGGACTCCATCCCCACCCGTCCTGGCTCTAGGACTTCCACCCAGTTCCTTCTCCCTTCTTTCCTCTGTCTCTCTCGGTCAGGTTTTATTTTCATCTGAAATTCATAGTGTTTATGAATTAAGGCGGACAGAACCCTCAGGTCTGCTGAGCAGGGTCCCAGGAACCTTCCGTGGGTGTGAAGCGGCTCCCGCAGGGTCAGTTGTGCCCCTGGGGGTGCTGGAGGGCGGAGCGCATGGCTGCCGCTGGGGGCTTGGTCCAGGGCCCGGCCAGCAGTGGGGTGGGGCTGGTGGTCGTCATGGTGACCTGCAGCATCTGCTCGCCCTGTATCAGTCTCAGGAGGGCCCGCAGGCGGTCCAAGGATGACTGGGTGCCCCTCTGCCGGGCCAGCAGGCTCGTCTTAAGCTCTAGGCATTTCTGTCGGGGGGAGAGAGGGGCGAGGTCTCAGAATCCCACCGCGGGCATCCTGGGGCTGCCACCCGCTCAGCCCTCCCACAGCTCCTCCCCTCTTTCGGGCAGAGGCCTGAAAGCAACCAGCGCAAGGGCCTTCCAAACACCAGGCAGCCGCAAAAAATGGAATTGCAGCCAGACACACAGGAGAAGTTTGTTTTAGAGTTCAGGGCCAGAAATGGCGTGCCTGGGTGGGAGTGTGGAACATTCTTCCTCCCGGCCATGACGCTACCTCGATGATCAGGTCATTTCTCCTCCTGCTGAGGAAGCTGGGAGCCAGTTCTGGCTCAACCACTGCAGCTGCTGAAGACCTGCAGATGGCCAGCCAGCTCTCCACTCTGTCTGCTGCCTGCCATGCTCCTGTCTTCCGGTTGGCTTTACCCGTGTCATGGCAGGGCAGGCAGCAGTCGGGATGGGGCCCAAGCTGGAGTGTAAGCTACTTGCCGCTCAGGGAACTGATCACTTATCCTCCCTGACGCTGCACCCAAACCCTGACACAGGAATAATCACAGAGCCTCCTCTTGGGTTATTCTGAGGATTGAATGAGATACTATGTGTAAAGAGTTTCACTAGGGCCTGGCATTGCCCTTACCATCATCATCACCACCACCATCATCACCATCACCACCATCACCATCAGCACCATCAGCACCACCACCATCATGACCATCACCACCATTGTCATCACCGCCATCATGACCACCACCACCATCATCACCATTATCATGATCATCACCACCAACATTGTCATCACTATCATCATGACCATCACCACCACCATCATCACCACCACCATCATCACCACCACCATCATCACCATCACCATCACCACCATTGTCATCACCACCATCATGACCACCACCACCATCATCACCATTATCATCATGATCATCACCACCATCAACATTGTCATCACCACCATCATCACCATCATCACCATTGTCATCACTACCATCATGACCATCACCACCATCACCACCATCATCACAACCATCATGACCATCACCACCATCACCATCATGACCATCATCACCACCATCACCACTATCATCATGACCATCACCACCATCATGACCATTATCATCACAACCATCATGACCATCACCACCATCACCACTATCATCATGACCATCACCACCATCAACATTGCCACCACCACCATCATGACTCATCACCACCATCACCATTATCATCACAACCATCATGACCATCACCACCACCACCATCATCACCACCATCACCACTATCATCATGACCATCACCACCATCATCACCATCACCACCACCATTGTCATCACCACCATCATGACCATCACCACCATCACCGCTGTCATCACTACCATCATGACCATCACCACCATCATGACCATCACCACCATCATGACCATCACCACCACCACCACCATCACCATTATCATCACAACCATCATGACCATCACCACCACCACCATCATCACCATCACCACCACCACCATTGTCATCACTACCATCATGACCATCACCACCACCACCATTGTCTTCACCACCATCATGACCATCACCACCATCACCACCACCATCATCACCATCACCACCATTATCATCACAACCATCATGACCATCACCATCAGCACCATCATCACCATCACCGCCATCATCACCATCATCACCACCATCACTACAACCACCACCATCACCACCAGTCTTGTTTACCACCACATTACAGAAGAGAAATCATTATGTTCACTTTACACAAGAAGAAACTGAAGTTCAGAGATAGGGCTTTGCCAAAGACGAAGAGCTAGGTAGGGGCAGAGCTAGAGGCTCAATTGCTTGATAACTATTTGTTGAATAGATCACAGAGCTGCATTCTCTACCTCCTGGCTCACTGAGTGATGTTGGTGAGTCTGTCTTCTCCTGTAGCCTCAGTAACAGGACAGTGAAGCTTTAGACTTACATCTTGGGGCTCTAAGGTCCCGCATTCTCCTGCCCCCCACTGCCAGCGCACCTTCACTGCCGAGGCCAGGCGCCGGTCCCGCTCCTCCAGCTGCTGGTGCTCACTCTGTAGCTCGCTGCCTCTCTGTAGCAGCTTCTGCTTCTCTTCTTCCTTGACTAGCAAAGAGAAGGTCAGGTAAGCAAGCAAGGTGAGCAAAAAGCCTGGGCCGTGCACGGGCGGGAAAAGCAGAAAGAACCCGAGGTCTATGCCTCTAGGCCATTCGGGCCACATCCTCCTGCAGAAGCCATTGGCCCTGGCCGCATACACAGGGGCTAGAAATGCCATCCCCCCACAGTAACTGCCTTGTGCACAGGACCAGTCCCAGTGTCCCTCTTTGCAGAGCTCTGGCTGGGAACAGCTTCAGGTGGGCCCAGAGTGAGTCCCGAGGACGGGGGTGGGGATGGAGAGAAGGGAGGAGGTGCCCTCCTCCACTCCCCGAGGCTGTCTTACCCGTCTTGTGGGTGACGTAGGAGTGCACAATGGCCAGCATCCCGGTCCAGGGCACGCCATCGTCTTTCTTTAAGGCCTAGAGGGCAGATGGGTTGATGAGCAAGCGGGCAGGCCAGAACATGCCATGGCCTGGCCGTGCAACCCTGGACGGGGCGGGGGGCGGCGGACACAAGCTCTCTGAGCGGGAGGTCCCTCAACCGTGATGGGATGGGGGCTGCCCCTGGCTCACGGTCTGGCTCAGAGTTCCTTGAGAGCAGGAACTGCTTCTTGCCAGGGCCCCACTCGGTGCTGGTGTGGAGGAGGCCCCAATTCTTGACTGAATGCATCCATGAATGACCACCTGCCTTCTTCCCTTGTCCTGGGGACCCGAGAGCAGCTCCACCGAGGGCCCAGGGAGTCCCCACCATCATGCTGAACACAATCCTGTGCCCTCTCTGTCTTCCCTCGAAGAGCTGTGAGCCTCAGGCAGTCACAGCTGGTGGCCCCCACAGGAGACCGTGACATAGGGCCCCCTGTATCCACCCTCTCCCTAGGTCCCCGGGATGACGCGAACCCATGAGAATCAGTGTTTTCTGAAATAAAGATGATTCCCCTATGATTTTACAAGTAACACATATGCATTATATAGAAAAACATCCTTCACAAAAAAGGACTGTTACTTCCCACGTGATTCTAACACTTGGAAGTATGTCCTCCACGGTTTTTATTCTACCTGCAGCTTTTCTCAGGGGCTGATGATTAAACCATACAGCCACTATAAAGCCTGGTGTTTTCTTTTTTAAAAACTTAATTCCACATAGAGAACAAGCCCTAAAGAATCACAAACTCTTTGTAAAGATCATTTTCAATGACCACATAACATCACCTTGCGTGCACATGCCGGAATTTATTTCACTGCCTCCTACTGCTGCAAGGTAGCTCTATCTCTTCCTTTATAAATACGGGGCGAGGGGCTTCTTCGTGCACAGAACTTTATCGGTATTTGGATTCTTTCTTGAGACCACATTCCCCAAAGCTAGATTCTGCATTAAAAAGATATATACATTTTTTAAGGCTCTTGATAAGATTCTGCAATGCGGAGAGTGTCTGCCTCCCCGCATCATCACCAGAAGGGAGTGTTACTGTTTTTTCGAACCTGCTAGGTTTTCATTTGTGTGGCGGCAAGGAGAAGGAACACGTTAGCTAGCACTGTTTTTGCGGTTTGCATTGCTAGTCCTGGTCTCCCCAGGCGGAATCTGGAGTTCAGAGGGGGAGTCACTGGGTCAGGTGCTGCACGGGGACACCTCTGCTCAGTCGTCACCAGTGGGCCTCCACGGGCAGTGTCTGAGATCTCAGGCCACTATGGGGGTGCTCCTGGCATCTAGTGGGCAGAGGCTGGGGCGCTGCCGAGACCCTACAGTGCACGGGCCCAGCCCAGCAGATTATCCAGCCTCAGGTGCCATGCCGGGGGAGGGTCCTTCGGTGCAGGGAGAGTGGGCAGCACAGCCTCCCATACCTTCTGCTGGCACTTGGGGCACCGCCACATGCCCTTGGGCGCCGTCTTGAGGGGCGGGTCCAGGCAGCTGAGGTGGTAGGCCCCCGGGCAGGTGCCGCAAGGCTGCAGGTTGGCCCCTCGCTTGCAGGCAGTACAGTGCTCAGCGTGGGTGATCTCACTCTGGAAGAGAAGGGAGGGCGGGAGGCGGGTCAGTGGGGCTGGGAGGGGGCTGGGGGCCCCCCGGGCAGCTGCCGTCCTGAACTGCTTGTGACCCACTGTTTCTCAGCAGCTCCAAGAGAGAGAGGGACAAGCCTTGAACCGGGAGGACGAGCAGCTGCCTGTCACGTGGACTCTAGGGCACCACCTGGGCCATGTTGACTAGGGACACGGCCACTGAGTCGGAGTCAGGCGGGGTGTGGCCCTGGCACCCTGATTCATCCCGGCTGAGACCTGGACACCAGGTGTGGGTAGCGGGGCAGGCGGTCCTGCTGTGGCTTAGGAGACCGTCCCCCTGGGCCCCCAATGTCCCACAGACCAATATCCTGGGGGGGGGGGCAGGCAAGTCCTCACAAAGCCTCTCCCCAGTGCGTTTTTCGCGCATGGCCTTGGGAGGTACGCGGCCACGGTCCTCCCCAGTGCTCTTGACAACACCTCGGTCTAACCTGGCCTCTCCCAACGTCCCGGGTGGGTTACTGTGCTCTTCTGTTTCCACATCTGTAATGTGGGCTAGTGACGCCTGCCCCACAGGATGCTGGGAGGACTCAACAGGACACGGCGCACAAAACACAATCCATGTAGGAGCCTGGTAAGGGGCGGCTTCCTCTTTCCCTGGGATAAAGGAACTTCAAACGTCCCTTCCAGAGTCACCCACATTTGGTGGTTCAGCCTCTGCTTACACGGCTGTGGGGACAGGGAGCTCACTACCTCCCCGGCCAGCCTGCTGCACTGTGGACAGCCCTGACAGAGAGAGGAGCCTTTCATAACGCCACGCCTCCCGTGACCTGCAAAGTCGGAACGGTTTTCCACCACCCGCTAGAAAATCTTCTCCACCCACGTGGCAGCGGTGCCTTCTGACTTCATGGCTGTGAAGGACCGGAGGACTCTCATCTGGAATGGCCCACGCCACGAGGACCCTGGACCCCAGGCTGCCCCTGACGGAGGGGGCAGCAGACAGAGATGAGGCCTCAGAGACTCGCTGTCACCTCTCGTTTCAGTGCAGGAGCTCAGGGAAGGCGAGCCACGCGCCCGGGGTGGCTCAGTAAGCTGCAGGGGGACGCGGGACCAGCAGCGGGGTCTCCCGCCTCGAAGCCACGGCCCCCCAGGACTGGGGCCTGCGGGAGCGGAGCTCAGGCTCCAGGCACGTCCTGTGTCCACGCTGGTTGGGCACAGGCGTCTGTGGACAAGCCACCAGCACCAGTCTGTGACACTACACGGTTCTGGCGGCAAAAAGCCCGGTATCACCAGAGTGCAGACCTGTCACCTGCTGCTGCTTAGTGGCCCGACTGTTACAGGCATGTAGGGGCTACAAATTCTCCTAGCATTAGATCCAAAACTTAGTTAAAAAAGGAGGTCACAGGGCGCCTGGGTGGCTCAGTCGGTTGAACATCTGCCTTCAGCTCAGGTCATGATCTCAGGGTCCTGGGATCAAGCCCCGCATCGGGCTCCCCGTTCAGTGCTGAGTCTGCTTCTCCCTCTCCCTCTACCACTCCCCCTGCTTGTGCTCTCTCTCTCTGTCAAATAAATAAAATCTTAAAAAAAACCATAAGGTCATGACCAGCTTGTGTCCTGGGAAGCAGGGACGCACTGTGTGCTCGGGGAATCGGGGTCTCAGAAGATCACAGAAAGGGGAGTCCTGAGGGGTGAGACCCTGGGGATTACCGGGTCTAGACCCTCGCAAGGCGGGCAACGGGGACCTGAGAGAGGCAGCTCCCCCTGGGGTCACACAGCAGGGCCGAGGAGAGCCCCGTAGAGCCCGGCCGGCAGCCAGCATCAGCTGCCTGCACCTGGGCCTTCTTGGGTCCCAGGGTCCCTGCGTCCTCAGCCGTGGGTGGAGAGAGCTCGTGTTTGAGCAGCCTGTGGGCTGACCCTGTGGGGACGCCCGACTCTGCCAGGCAGGCTGGACAACGGCCTGGCTGGGGTTGCAAAGCTCTCGGTATCGAGCACGGAGCCCGAAGGCCCTCCGCTCGCTCCGCTTGCCCCTGCCTGGAGCGCCCACGCCTGCACCCGCCCCGCCCAGGTGTGCCGGCGAGGGGACACCTACCTTCCAGCAGGGGTCCTCATTGGCTAGCACGGGGAAGAAGGGTGGAGAACATGTTAGTGGGCGTTGAGGAACACCAATCAGGACCGGAGGCCACGAGGCCCGGTGGGGCAGGGGTTCCCACCCCAGGGCAGGACAGGAGCATCACAGGCCCCTGGACACCGTGTTCTCACCGGGGCACGGCGGAAGCAAGGGTCTCTGCCCTGGTCGGGGCCGGGACCCACCATGGGGCGGGCAGTGGGCTGCCCTGCGGGGGAGCCATCATTCCAGGGACCTCTCAGAGTGACTTATTTTCAACTGTGGTTTTTGGGGTTTTTTGTTTTTTTGTTTGTCCATAACCCACTCTCCTTCCAGTAAGTGATGCCAAACCACACATTTAATGATCACAAAACATGGTTTTCCTTTTAGTCGCTGGCTCAGAGCAGTCCGCAGATGATACCGGCCAGAGGGAAGACGCGAGCATTTACCACGTGCCGTCACATCCAGGCCTCGCGTCATCGTCCCGGCTCGGAGGCCCGGTTCTGACACCTGTCAGAGGGCAGCAGGCTCCGCCAGCCCACCTCCTCCTCAGAGAGGGTATCGGGGCGAAGGAGGCCGTGGTGTGGAGGGCCCGGGAGCCGGAGTGCACCATCCACCAGAAAGCAACTCTGCCCCGCTGTGGACGGGCCGGCCAGCCCCACGCAGGCCAAGAGCGGAGGGCCACCCACGCCGCCTCGGCCTCAGGCCCCAGGGCAGCCACGGCCGCGGACACCTACCTCTCGCTGTGAGGAACAGGGGGGTGTTGAGATAGTTGGACGCCAGCCGTTTCCTCTGCAGGGGACCGAAAACAAAACAAAAGCAGCTCACGTGGAGCCCTCCTCGCTGACACTGCTCCTGCCCGGGACGCAGCCGGGACAGGCTCCCCACCCAGGGCTCCGGAGGTCGCAACGGGACGGACGCGCAGGGCAGGGGAGCGGCCGGTGAGTCAGCAAAGGCTCTGCCCTGAGGGAAGCACGGCCTCCACCCCTGAGCGAGCTCAGGAAATCAAGGAGGAAGTGAGGGGTATAAAGATGGACCCTTCGGGAGAGTTCTCCGAGCAGGGGCTGGGGGTATAAGCAGAGGGCAGGGGCGGCCAATGACATTCTGATCTCCCGCGTCTGTTTCCCAACTGACTCTGAACTCAGGAGGGGAAGCAGGACATCATTTATTGTCGTGCCCTGAACTCCAGTGCCCAGAGGGGCAGGGGAGGGAGGCAGCCGCAGGGCAGGTGCGCGAGGGCGGGGCCTCACCTCCGTCTCCAGGAGGCCACTATACGCAGGATTAGCTGTGCTTCTTCTCTTCCGCTCTTGGCGTTTGCTCTGGATTTCTGGAAAGGCACAGACACAGCCGCTACTGGATCCTTCCTGGCCTGGGAACCCCGAACTCTTCCTCTGCAAGCCCCGGGCGTCCCTGTCCCCTCCTGCCCTACGGCTTCTGTCTGCCCAGCATCCCCGCCCCAGAGTGGCCCCCCGAATTGCTCCCTCCGAGGCAGATGGATGGGCTGGCTTCGGGCTGGAGGGTGGCAGGTACCCGCTCTCAGCACGGGGTCCCCCCTGTGCCATGATCCACCCCAGGGACGTGTCTCGTGGGATGTCCGCCGGCCAGGCACTGGCCCGGCCCAGCTGCACGGTGAGGCTCAGGGCTCCCACAGGAACCCATCCACCTGCCGCTCAGGTAGGCTCTGCCCACATGAAGCCTCCAGCACGAACCCTTCTGGGGCCCCCAGTGTGGTGTGCTTCACGTAGTAACAGTGACCACCCCATAGGAATGGTCCCCGCCTTTCCTTCCTTCTGTTTTGCCTGCCAGGTGGAACCTGGGACCTGTTTCTCTGAATACAGCTGTTTCGACATTTTTTCCTAACTTGTCTTTTGGACCCCCAATTTTTCCTTTTAAATCTTTGCAGTATCATTCATGTGTTTCCCATAAGGCACCCCAGACCCTCTGTGGAAGACAGGGTCCAAATACATAAATATTTAGGGTATCAGGGTTAGAGAATTTTTACAAGGAGGGCTATTTATAAAAATCCTAACAGTCACGACAGCATCAGGAAAGCTTTTTCATCCCAGTCCTCATGACAACGCTGCAAAATTTCAAGGTGCAGTCTTCCTCGTGTTACAGAAGAGGAGACTGAGGTTCAGAGTGGAGGGAGCTTGCCCAAGGTCACCCAGCTCGAAGAAGCATGACCAGGACTCCAATGCAGACCTTCGGACATGACCAGGAGGGCCCAAGCCTGAGTGGTTAGCAAGTGGCAGGACTGGGCAGTCTGGCTCCAGCATCCACTCCCCTGGGCTGCGTGCAACGTGGGAGCAGGGGACCCACACGATTCCTTTGCCGAAACGAGAAAGTGGGTCTGTGCAGACAGCCATGGAGCCAGGGAGAGCAGTGGGGCTTTCTTGGTCTTTGTGCTGACAAGCCTTGGCACTTGGGACAGACCTCCCAGAAGGCGGTTCACTCATGTGTGCGGCCCTCCCACCAGCCAGCACCCCACGGCCACCACCCCAGCCTGCCACCATGCAGGTCCTTACCTTCCAAGTGTTCCGTTGTGACCAGGCCTAGAGCTACCATGAAGGCGATTTTCTGAGGGAAGGAAACAGAGAAGCGTTAACACAGCCTTCCCCATTCGCTGATTCAGTAAACATTGGCTGAGCACCGCCGTGATGGGGCTGGCTTCTCTGTTTCGGGTTTCCCTCGTTTTTACCTACTGTCCGTTCTCTGTCCCAGGACCCCATCCAGGATCCCACACTGCATCTAGTTGCTGTGTCTCCTTAGCTCCTCTGGGCTGTGCCAGATTCTCAGGCTTTCCTTGTTGATGGTGACCTTGACCATTTATTTGGAGTTTGGGCTGGTCAGGCAGGACGCCCTTCAGTTGGGACTGGTCTGATGGTTTTCTCATGATTAGACTGGGTTATGGGCTTGGGGGCGGGAGACTACAGAGGTGAGGTGCCCTTCCTGTATCCGGGGTACGTGTTATCAGCGCGACTTCTCACTCGGCCGCTGCCCTCGATCACCTGGCTGGGGCGCCGCCAGGCTCAGCCTTCTCCACGGCAAAACCCTTCTCTTTCTGCCATCCACACTGTCCTCGTCGGGAGGAAGTGGCTGTGCACCACTCACACTTCAGGAGGTGGGAATGATGCTTTTTTTGGCCATTTAAACGAAAAAAACTTGTATGTAGTAGAAATTACCAGTGTTTTCTTTTTCATTGTTCGGGTTTTTGAATCTTAGCTACAGACTCAAGTTATAAAGCAAATTGCTTATGTTCGATTGTAGTACCTATAATTTCACTCTTTACATTTATTTTCTTCTTATTATTATTTTTAAGTAGACTCCCCGCCCAACGTGGGGCTCAGACTCACGACTCTGAGACCTGGAGTCCCATGCACCACCGACTGAGCCCCTCACTGTTCACATTCAAATTTTGGGTCCATTTGGAATTTACCCTGGTGTAGATGGTGTGAAGGATGGATTCCTTTTATTTCGTATGGCTTCTACTCGTTTGTTCTAATCCCACCTATTGAAAATTCCATCGTTCCACTTTTCACTGGTTTAAGGAGCCCCTTTAATCATATACTGAATGATCAGGGGTCTACATGGTCTCTTTCTGTGCCTCCTATCCCGTTCCTCCAGCGTTTCCTTGGCTCTTCTTGCTTATGTTTTCACGTGAAACTTAGAAGCCATGAAGGAGACTGAGGTCTATTTACTGGGATGTAAAAGTTTCCTTTCCAGAACCATGGTGCACCTCTCTGTTCTTCTGCCTTTAGGGGTTTCAAACTTCCCCTCCAGTGGGTATCGACTGTTAGTGTGCTTATCCTAGATTTTTATTTTTCTTTGAATTTTTTTTATAGTTTTTTAAAAAGATTTTATTTATTTATTTGACACAGAGAGACACAGCGAGAGAGGGAACATAAGCCCGGGGGAGTGGGAGAGGGAGAAGCAGGCTTCCCGCGGAGCAGGGAGCCCGACATGGGGCTCGATCCCAGGAGTCATGACCTGAGCTGAAGGCAGATGTGCAACCAGCTGAGCCACCCGGGTGCCGCTAGGTTTTTCTTTTCTTTTTTTTTTTTTTAAAGAAAGAGAGAGAGAGATACCTCTAGAGAGAGAGGCAGAGGGAGAGAGAACCTCAAGCAGACTCCCTGCTGAGCATGGATATGACACAGGGCTCGATCTCTTGACCCCAAGATCATGACCTGATGAAATCAAGAGTCTGGACGCTCAACTGACTGAGCCACCCCAGTGCCCCTATTCCTAAATATTTAATCTGTTTGTTGCTACTGTAAGTAGGGGTATCAGTAAGGCTTCTAGCAGGATGTTCTGCGTTTCTGTGACGATTATCAATGGCTTGCACTCATATTAACCCTGCCGTGCCAGATTCTGTCTGCAGTAGTTTTGTTTTATTTTTTAATTGATTCTCTTGGGTTTTCTACACCATTTCAAATAGTGACTGCCCACTGTTTCTTTGCTTTTTTTTTTTTTTTTTTTACTTCTACGCTGTTAAAAATAGTTCTCCTCCTCAATCTGTCAGCTTTCTGTGATCTTCTTTGAGTCACTGAAAACCTCAGCTACTACAGAGGAGACTGGCCGAGAGCTCACGCTGCCTCCCACCTTCTCCCGCACTCTCCCTGCGGAGTTAGAGGTGAAGCCTTTGGATGTTGTTGGAGAACTTAGTATCTACGTTCTCAGCCGACGCGGCGGGGAGCCAGGCCCACGGAGCCGCATTTCCAGAGTTCTTGGGCAGATTTAAACCCTCCTATGTGCAGCCTTTCAGTTTGAAGGCCAGCTGGGCTGGACATAAAATCCTCGGCTCCTCCCTTCTTTCCTCAGGATGGTGTGGATAATGCTCTACTGTATTCTGGGCTTGAATCCTGCATGGAAAAGCCAGAAGCCGGCTGTTTTCCCTGCAGAGTGACGTGATCGCTTCTGCCTGGATGACTTCTGGATGCTTCTGTGCTGGGTTATGTGTCAGTATTGATCCTTCTCCCCTGGTGCACACGTTCATTTTCCCTGGTGCCCAGTACCGGGGACACAGCCCATTAACATGCACACAGTCTCCTTTGGTTTCAGTAAACATTTCTCGAATCATATTAAAAAAATCAGGAAGTACAACCACACTATGAAAAGCGGGGCCCATTAATTCTATCCTGGAAGGTGCGTGCTCACATGAATGCAAGACTAACAAAATGGTTAACGTGCCCACAGAGGGGATTCTGGGGCCCGGCAGATTCGGCCGATAGCTGTCCAGGCTGCAGTTTGGGGTCACCTGGCTTCAGCATTGTTTCTGAGCCCCGGGGCTGACTGCATGGTGGCAGGGACTCTCGGGGCCCCCCCCAGTACTGGCATCTGCCTCGCTGACCCCACCTGGAAAGACTAGGCTGAGCAAATACCAGCAACGTGGAGACCAAGCTCCCCCTTCCTGCCACCCCTTCTTCCACAGGAGATAACCTGAGCCCACATTCACTTGAGGAAAAGAAATGGGACCCAACTGCCTACACAGTAGAGTCAAACCCACATCACCGCGGGCAATGCGAAGCATCACCTCTTCTACTTGGCTCCGTAATTCTGGGATCCGTTCCAGAAGCCTCAGCTTACACATCGGCTGTGTCCTCTTTGCTGGTCTTTGTCGGGATCACTCTTGACTATTTAAAAACTCATTCTTCCTTTTTTATTGTGTGTACTTTGCTCGCTTGCTCCCGCCTCCTCTGTGCCTGTGTCCCCTGTCCTCGGCTGTGTCTAGGGCCCCCTGAGCTCATCCACTTACAGATTTATTTCTGGGAATGATTCCAGCTCACGCTTTGTTCTCTCTGGTATGGTGGCCACTCAGCCATCTCCTCCCCTAAGCCTTGTAACTTATTCCTTGGTGGTGACTATTTTACTGTTCTCTCTCTTTGAATTCATAGTAAGGTGTTGATTTTTTTTTTAATCTAATGAATATTATCTTCTGGTAAAAAAATTCTTCTCTTTTCCCTATTTTTCCTTAGGGTGGCTTTGCAATGATGTTATGCCCCATGCCTCCTTTTATTAAAGGTCATTGAAGGAGCTGAACGTCCCTGGACCAGCTCTGTGCAGAGGATGGTGGGAAGCAGTTCAAAAGCATCTGCCCAGTGAACTGACTTCATTCCACATATATTATAAATTATTGCTTCTTTGTATCTCTGTGCTATATCCGTGGGTGTATTCTTTTTTTTTTTTTTTTTTTTGGTGGCATGGGTAGAACAGAGGAAGAGGGAAAGAGAAAACCTTAAGCAGACTCCACGCCCAACGCACAGACTGATGTGGGACTCGATCTCATGACCCTCAGATCATGACCTGAGCTGTAATCAAGAGCTGGATGCTTAACCTAATGAGCCACCCAGGCGCCCCTGTGGTGGTGTATTCTAAAGCACTAATAATGCCTGTTCATTCTGTCTAGTACCTTTTTAAATTTCAACCAATTACCATGTTTTTCATTCCCAGATTTTCAATTATTATGTTCACCTGATCTTACTTTATTTTTCATATTTTTTGCTTCCTTATTCCTTATTGAATTCAAGTGGATGTTACTCCTTTCTGAAAAAAACTTGCCTGATATCCTAAACGTACTTATGTGTCAGTCGTTGCTAGAGTATGCCACAAAATTAACTTCCTCTTGAATCAACTCAAGTTCCAGATGCTGACTCTGACTGCCATCCTTAGGGGTTGCTGCATGGATTCCGGAATTCTGTCCACAGGGTCATTTTGGGTATAACTCCTTTTTCTCTTCATTCTGCATTTTTATTTTCTCTGCCTCCTGCTCACACCTCCCTTTGGGCAGGACTGCCATCACCCTGGCCTTGCCCCTCACCCTGGGGGCAGCTGTGGCCCCAAGCTCAGATTGGCGCCTTTCTTTCTCGGAGAACTTCTGGGACCTCTGGCCACGTGTGAGCCATGCCCTTCCTGGTCACCCTCACTCGACTCTGTCTCTGGAGCCCGGTGGCCTGGGCATCGGTCCTGCTCACTGCTTGTGTTTCTGGGACACAGCAATGCATAGCTGCATCTCTGTGGTCTCTTCCTGTCGCCAGCTAGACCCCAGCACTTGACTTTGACTCCGCCTCCGTCTTTTTTTTTTTTAAAGATTTTATTTATTTGACAGAGAGAGACTCAGCAAGAGAGGGAACACAAGCAGGGGGAGTGGGAGAGGGAGAAGCAGGCTTCCCGCGGAGCAGGGAGCCCGATGCGGGGCTCGATCCCAGGACCCTGGGATCATGACCTGAGCCAAAGGCAGACGCTTAACTGACTGAGCACCCAGGCGCCCCAACTCCGCCTCCGTCTTACATTCTTCCTGAAGCTCTTCTTTCAGACTTACCTCTTAACTCAGGCAAATGAAACCCGAAACCACCCCTCGGGGGATGGCCCCTGCCCAGACCCCTCGGACCATCTGAACTAAACCCGGCTTGTGCTTGCACAGATGGGCCATGGAGCAACAGGACTCCACTACAGAACTAAAATCATTACAGTGCTAAAATCTCTGCTCACGGAGGGACCTCGCCTGCGTTTACATAACACACAATGTAGGTACAGGTGTGTGTCCCTAACGCGCGTGCGCGACCTTATGCCCACCTCTACGAAGGATGACAAGGCTTCCTCATCTAAATATTCATCCTAACCCTAATCAAAAGGTACCCATTCACCCCATCTTGGGGAGTCACAGCGTTGGAAGCGATTCCCTGCGGTCTCCTTATTTGCTGCAAATAACGTTTACGTTGTGCGATCACTCCGCGTGGCGTATCTGACTCGCCAAGAAGCGAACTCACGTTCGTTCGGTTACGTTCCTACATTTTATCTGCTGTTCTTGTGCGTTTGCAGTGGAGCGCTACATCAGAAGCCCGCCCGGGCCGCTCTTGATGGGTTTCAAGAAGGGGGGCGACTCGGTTATTTCTGAATTTTAGAAAGATCCTTCTAGCTGCCGGGAGAATACAGAGGGGGGAGCCCATCCAGGGGCAGGGAGGGATGGGGCAGGAATGGGGGCCACGGTAACAGGGGTGGCGTGGAGGGAAGGAGCATCTGTGCACACAAGTCTTGCCCAGAGAGGTGGCTGGGCCTGGGGTTGCAGTCAGCGCTCATATGGGGCTGGGACCCTTGCTCTGGATACCCCCCTGCAAGGCACATGCTGGTCTCAGCGTGGCCAGTCTCAGTCAGATGCTGCCCGAGGCCAGGATAATGGGTGGCACAGAAAGGGCCACAGTTCTGTCCTAAAGAAGGCCACGAGCCTTCAAACAGGGAAGAGCGGGCAGAGCCTTGGAGTGGTCCTGGGGTGCTGGTAAACCGGAGGTTCCTTTCCACCACCAGGCTGGCCCGCCACGGGCAGCTTGAGCTGCCAGCTGCAGGCGCTCAGGGCTTGCTCACGCAGCCCCGGGAGCCACCGATTGTCACCAGCCACCCCAGCGCTCCAACGGGCTCATCTGATGAAGTTTCTGGGGCAGCTGCCGCTCTGGCCTCAAGTGCTCCTAACCTGGGCTCTTCGTGAACACGTTCCAAAGGGCGCCACAAAGCCCCGCGTCTGCACCACACAATGCTCCCAGACCTCTTTAAAAAGAAAGTTTAATAAGGATTTTTACACCAGGACATGTTGTAATTACAAGTTCTATTTAAGTCATTACACGTATTTACACTAATTATGTAGTTAAACGTAATTATACTAATTGTATAAACGCACAATAACTGGCTCTGATATACTTCGAGAGAACACAGAGAATCCACCCAGAAAACCTGCGAGGACGCAATGGGTGCAACGCAACCCCACGGGAGGACAGAGGGGTGCGTGTGGGAGCCTCAGGCTGCGAGCCGGCCCGGGGCTCACCATGCATACAGCAGGTGCTCCCACGGCACCAAGGAATGGAACTGAGTGCCTCTTGAAACAAACAGGGCCCGGGGCTACAGACCAGACTTGGTTCCATCTCAGCCTCAGCGAGTAGTGGACTCTGACTCTCTGCAGGCTTTTTGGACACCTCAAAGGACAATAATCAAGTCACTCTCCTGCTCAAAGATATTCTGTGGTTCCCCACTGCCCAGGGAATAAAGTTCCACCTTGGCGGCCTGCATGCAATGCAGGTCCTCCAGGATGAGGCTCCAGCGTCCCTCTAACCCTGTGCTCAGAATTTCTCAGGCATCCATGATGCCTGCGATCCAAGTAGACCAGCCGACTCTCCTGGCCTGCCAAGTGCCTTCCCACCTTCCATGCGTCGGCCTAGGCAGCGCCCTCTGCACCACACGCCATCCCACCCCACCCCCCTGCCTCTGCCCCTCTGTTGAAGTCCCACCTGCTCCCCCAGGCCCTGCTGATCCCACCCCTCCTCTGCCAAGCCTTCCCCAGTCCTTCTGGGTGCAAACATGCTCTCTCCTTCTCCCTGCACCTCCCACAGCTCTGGATTTGTAATTCTCTGCTGACGCTTGAGATTTTTTTAGCCGAAGTTGAAGTCTTAGTGGTTTTGCCAAGAGCAGTGAGGTCCCCTAGGGCTAGGACTCCATCTGCCCCAGCTCGGCGTCCCGACCCTCGGCACAGAGCCAACTCTAAGATATGTCTGATGAATAATGAATGGATGAAAGACTGACTTCTTTCGATACTGACAGCATGTTGATAAAAAGAATCCTAAGGAGCTCTAGGAGCCCTGAGGGGCCTCTTCTGCCCACCGAGGTGAGGTAGTCAGGGAAGGCTGCCGGGAGGAGAGGATGTCTGAAGTGAATCTTATAGGATGAATGAGAATTGGCAGCTGTGTGGGAAAAGGCCCCAAGTGTTGACTGTGGCCCGGGATGGCAGAGGACACAAGCAGTAACATAAGAGGGGTCACCTGCTGGGACCAGAAGTTAACAAAGAGTGACTTTGCATTAGCTGCTGGCCTCTTACGCCCCCACAGAGCAGGTGGTTCTGTGTTAGCCACGGATTAGGATGGCGCCATGAGGGGGATGATGGGGGATGGGACTAATGTGCAATTTCTGGAAGGTTCTACCCATCACCCTGCTAGAGCACTGGCTGCACGAGATGCAAAGCCAGGCTCCCTGGTTCTAGAATCCGTGCTAACCCCTGCCCCACACCACCACGTGGGCAAAGTAGACCAGGACGAGGCCCCCGGGCAAGTCCCCACCAGGAGCTCCCACTGCACAGGGCGGCTCCCCGCCTCCTACGGTGACCCCCAGAGTCCAGCCACCCTACCTCGGGGTTCTCCTGGCTCAGGGGCCGGTCCTCCTTCTTCTTTTTGGTCGCCTGAGCTCCCTGAGATGGTTCCTCCGTGGGCGGCTGTGACTCTGCCGTGCTCTCAGGCTGCGTCTGCACTTGAGGCTGGATGATGATGACCTGGAAGGTGTGGCAGAGGGGTGGGGGTGAGGGGTAGCAACTGCGGAGGGGGAGGGGAGCCAGGGGGGCCAGAGCGGCGAGGGGCCTGGGAAGTTGGGATTACAGAGGAACGAGGAAGACTGCACCCAGCTCTCTGGTCCATGGGGCGCCTGCACCCAGGGTGTGTGCCTCCGGACAGCCCCTTACACCGTGAGGGCTGCCTGAGTACGAGCCTGGTTTAGGAACCAGAAGAGCCTGGGTTCAATCCTGTGCTACCACGTCACAGCTGTGTGGCCTCAGGGAGGTCACTTTGCCTCTCTGAGCCTCAGCTTCCTTGCCATCCTACCTCCAGGGAGGTGGTGAAGATTCGGGAAGCAAAGACTCAAAAGACATTGGTTTCTTTATCTCCAGCTCAAGTGCAGGGAAACTGAGGTCAAGAGGGCTCAGATTTGCCACCTGAGCTCATCAGGGGTTTCTCTGAGTGCACTGCCCAGCCTGTCCCCTCCCCAGCCTGTCCCTTGGGCCCCCAGGACACTATGTCCGAGGCTTTCAAACCTGGTCTGGGGCAGGGTAGGGGTGGAGAAGGGGAAGGTGGGTTCTGGACCCTGCTCAGCAAGGCCCAGAGTGGCCCTACTTCAGCCAGCTGCCATCGGGGTTCACGGCTACCATTTGGTTTGATTGAAGGGTCTGAGGCTGAGAAGTCTGAAAGCAATTTACGAAGCCCAGCCCCTCCCTGGGTGGGAGTCCCCTCCATCTGTGGCTCAACTACTTTATTAATTTTTTGGATGGGATACTGGGAAAGAATCATTATCTTTCACAGATCCAGGGGAAGGAATTCACCAGGAGCAGTCAGCCAGGGTCTCGACCAAGCCAGGAATAACCTGAACTTGTATTTTTCCCCCTAAGAACGTGACTGTCTTGTGAATTTGACGCTCCTAAACAGGAAGAAAAAATGCATCTGTTTTTCTGCTGGCTTAAGGGAGGGCTCTTTGTTCTCCTTTGTATCATAATTTTAAAACCCCAGAATTCTCTGGATGAAAAAAAAAATGCCCCTCTTTATATTCATGGGAAGAAAAACATTAAGATACCCAGTAGAAAACAGGGCAAAAAACATTCTCAAACGAGTCACACAGAAGGAGACAGAATTCTTGAAAAGTATGGGGGAAATATTCAAGCTTCATAATAACCAAAGGAATTCAACTTTCAACAGCGAGCATCTGTTTGCACCGATTAAATGAGCAAAAAGTGTTTAAAATGACAGTACTGAATGCTGGTGAGCTTGCAGTGAAAAGGGTACACACATCCCACAAAGGCATCCCACAAACACCTGGGAAGCACCGCCTGGGGACCGGGTGTGGTCCTGAGGAACACGTCTCCCCATCCGACCACATCCTGTGATGACTGAGCATCCCCGGGGCTCCCGTCCACAGGCGGGAGGGCCCAGAAGCATAACGCTCCCAGACATATGCTATGTGCAGTAAAATCCAGGTGCACGAAAGTGGAGCACCAGTTTTCAGGCTGGAAATTAGGAGGGACGCTGGCCCCAGATAAGAGCGGGGCAGGGCGCCTGGGTGGCTCAGTTGGTTGAGCGACTGCCTTCGGCTCAGGTCATGATCCTGGAGTCCCGGGATCGAGTCCCGCGTCGGGCTCCCTGCTCAGCAGGGGGTCTCCTTCTCCCTCTGCCCTCTTCCCTCTCGTGCTCTCTGTCTCTCATTCTCTCTCTCTCTCAAAAAAAAAAAAAAAAAAAAAGTACAAGAGCGGGGCAGCCTGGCAGGTCCCAAACTGGGCACAGAGGAAAGGAGGCTGAAGAGGTGAAGCGGTACCTTTCACGCAGCCCTGCAGCCCCAAAGGCCTCAAACCTCCCAATCCCCAAGGAGCTCGGAGGGGGACAGAGAGAGGACCTCAGTTTCAGTTTTAAATCTCGGCAAGAAATCACAGATTTTCCATTCCGGCACCGGGCATCCCCCAAAGTCCTCAACCACTCAACTATACCAGCCAGAGATCGACCACCAGGACGGGCCTCTTCTGGGAATTCATCCAGCCACACATCTTACTGGTTAATTCATGATTCCAAAGAGGGAAGTAATTCACCCATTGACCACTCATTCTTTTTCCACCGCTATCAATCCATCCAGCCACGTGTTCGCTCAATCGTGCACCCATCCATCCGCACCGCGTCCTTCGCGCGCTGATCCATTCACTTCCCCTCCCGCTCATACCGCCAGCCCTCCTCCCGTGGGGTCGCTCGCTTGCGGGGTCATTCCTCCGCAGCCCATCCCCTCCAGCGCGGACGCACTCTCGTGACCGCTCATTCACGCCTCGCTTCGCACCCCATTCATTCGAGGGGCTCCTGGGTCCTCCCGCCAACCGCTCACTCGCTCTGCTCGGGCAACCGCCTCCAGCGTGAGCGGGCACACACCCACCTTCTTGTCGGCGCTGATGAGGAGGGGCTGGACCTTGATGCTGTTGCTGACCACAGGCACGGCAGTGCTGGGGGCCACGGCGGCGGCATTGCTGGGGGCGGTGGTGAGGATGGCGTAGGCCACCCCGGCACTGCTCAGGGGAGAGGCGATGGCGGCGGGCTCAGCGAGGGCCTGGGGCTGGCTGCCGGGAGCTGGCACATGGCTCACGGTGTTGTTGGCGGTGGGGAGGGCTGGGCTGGGGTTCTTGATACTGACCACGGTGGCCTTCTGGAAGGTTGGGGGCTGCTTGGGTGGCCGGTCCCGGCCCGGGGCGACGGGGAGGCTGTCTGGAATCAGAGTCTTTGGCCTAACCTGGGGAGGGAGGGACAGGTGCATGGTCAGACAGATGCCCGAGCAGGTGGATGGGGCGGCCCTGAACACAGCGGGGACTGGAGCACTGACGTGGCCGGGCTCTGAGACCTCCCATGTTAGACGTGAGGGGACAGCAGTGGAGAGGCCCTGGGGCTCAACTCCGGGCCCGAGCCCCTTCCAGCCGAACTCAGATAAGACGGTGAAGAACAGGGAAGGAGGGGTGGGAAAGCGGCACGTGGACCAATCAGGTCCCTCTGACGTCAGAAGTCCGCAGAGCGCTGTCGCTGGGGCAGGGACCGGGAGGGCCGTGGGGGCTCCTGGCCCCGCTCAGTCGGCTTCCTGACCTGGAGGGGGCTGCCGCTGCGCTCCCTGTGAAAGCCATCATGCCGTAGGCAGGAGATGCCACAGGTCACCCTCTGAGAGGCCCACACACAGGGAGTTAAGGCAGGTGCAGGTGGCTAGGACGTGGTTCTGGCCAGGGCTCCGGACGGCTCGTCTGCGGCCCATCCTGCCCCTCCGGGGCCCGTGCGGTCTCGGGCACGCCCCTCATCTGTGCGCTGGGGGTGGGGAGAATGCACAAAGTGACGCGTGCATCCCAACTGTCAGCTGGCAGCTACATCCCAGCATTCCTGCAACCAGAAATGGGCCTCACGCCAACCCCGTGAGACCTGCGCTAGCGCCACCTTCTTAGGGACCAGGAGGCAGGAGAGGATGCACCCTCTCTTACCTTATTTGAGCCCCACTGTGACTGCATTGTGAAGTAGGTATTTGGCCTATTCTACAGATGAGCAAATCGAGGTCTGGAGAGGAAGGGACTTAGCCCAGGAGAAAAACGACGCCCCAGACGTCACTGCTGGGGGAGCGGAACTCGCACTCAGGACTTCCAGAAGCCTGCTTCGGTACCCAGCACCCCCACCATGGTCAGTGACCCTCGTGGAGGGAGGGGCTCCGGGTGGCTCCCACGGGGCTCTGTGACCTCGCGCAGGTCACCTCAGTGCCGCGTGCCCCTCAGTCAAGCTGGTATCATGTCTGTCTTCTCCTCCCCAGCGTCCGCCGCGGAGCAGGCCTCAATTCTAGTGATTCTAGTGTCCTTCCCTGGGCCCCGCCAAGTGGGCCCTCCACCACGAGGGCCTCCCCCCATCAGGGGACCCGCCAAGTCGTATGATCTTGGCACGTGGGGTCAGGATCAGAGCCTGACACCAACACCAATACTGAACGTGGGAACCTCAGATGGCCACCAGCTTGGGGACTGCTGCGCTCTGCCTCTGCGGAGGACGGGTGGGGGCAGATGGGGCGAGTGGTGGTTAATGAGGATCCCCCGCTACGAGGTCAAGGGAAGCCGTTTTGTGCTGTCGGCAGCATCCCCCCCTGCTGCCCCCGGTCACTCTGGTTCACACTGGCCGGGCAATACCATGTAAGCCCAGCTCTGCATGTGGGGGAGCCGTGCCCAGACCGCAGGGGCTGGGCTCTGAGCATGGGGGCCTCCAACCCAGAAAAAACCTATTCGGGGGACCCCAGAGCTCATGACTTTCAGCCGGTGCCACTTGGAGACGAGACCCAGGCCGGGCCTCCTCCCACAGGGGCCTACGGAGCGCTGTCGCTGGGGCAGGGACCGGGAGGGCCGCAGGGGCTCCTGGCCTACCCCATCCTCTACACTCTCCTTTCTCCGGGCCTGTTGGGATTCAGCACAGGTGGGCGCTCAGGAAAGGTTGTCACCAGGACAAGAGCTACCCTTCATCATCCTCGAGCGAGGGGCATCCTTCGGGCACTGTCCTCCCCCCGAGCCACCAGGGCATGCACAAGACTTGCTCGAGGCTGAGCACTGGTTAACCACTAGCAGGCATGGCCAAAAAGGCGCTGTGCCATTGGATCCGGCCTCGCGGCCACCAAGCACACACCTGCATCAGCCCCTCTGCAGGAGGGAAGCCTTGGTCAGGTTAAGAGGCCAGGTGAGCTGTCCGAAGTGCAGAGCCCAGTCAAGGATGCTGTGGACCGAAGCCAGGGCGCCTGGCTTAGCATCTTGCTGCCTCCCCGAATGAATCGTCTTATGCAGAGTTTCTCGCACTGTCTTGACCCATGGTTTAAAATCTTTATTACCTCATGACCCAGTCCAGAAACAAGCTATTCAAGAAACCACATTTAAGGTGCATCTTGATATTTTCTGTCCTACTCTAGTTTAGCTTCGCTTATTGCATTAAAGAAAAAAAAGGGGGGGGCGCCTGGGTGGCTCAGTCGTTAAGCGTCTGCCTTCGGCTCAGGTCATGATCCCGGCGTCCTGGGATCGAGCCCCGCGTCGGGCTCCCTGCTCGGCGGGAAGCCTGCTTCTCCCTCTCCCACTCCCCCTGCTGTGTTCCTGCTCTCGCTATCTCTCTCTCTGTCAAATAAATAAAATCTTAAAAAAAAAACCCTGGTCCAGACCCACTAAAATGATTTTGCAATTCCTCATCATAAAAACTGGGTCTTGTCGGAGGTCTGCCTCCTCCCGACAGGCAGACGAGGCAGGAGGGGGAAGGGGCATGCCCAAGCGGGTCCTTGCCCAGCGCAGTGCCGGCCTAAAACCTCAGTGCTTGAGGGGCTGGGGATGAACAGACAGACCCCCCGGGGCCCACCACGAGCTGCTTACCTGAGGTAGCACCGCCACTCCTTGCCCGGCCAACCTCTGCAAGGAGCTGACCTGAGGACCCGTGACAGGCACTGCAGTGATGGCTCCCAAAGCCTGAAAGACAGGAGGGGGCACTGAGCCGGGACCGGGGACACCGCGCTGAGGTCACCGGGGCCGCCCAGCAGGTGCGCGGCTCTCACCACCTGGCGGAGCAGGGGGACAGCAAACTCGGCTCTTCCCTTTCTCCATCAGGAGTTCACAACCACAAAAGTATGTTTTCATCACGCAAGACATTTTGGATACCAGAGAAAGAAACAGGATGGCATCGTCCAGAAGACAGTCCTCGGCTTCCTTTTTTACAAGTAAGGTTTTTTTATATTGATACCCATCTACTAAAAGCCAACAAAAATCAACATTAATCCATACTTTGCACAATTATTTTTATAAACAACAAAATGAATCCAAGACCTAAAGGTAAAGCCTAAAACTAGAAAACTAGGAAAAAACCACAGGAGAAAAATCTGTGGGACCCTTGGTTAGGCAAAGAGCCTTAGATATAACACCAAAACCTGATCCATAGAAGAACAGTTTAACATACTGGACTACAAAAGAATTTAAAAGCTCCTGAAGCTTAAGTGTGAACAGAGTGAAAAGCCCCAGACTGAGAACACACACTTGCAAGTCACCTCTCTGATAAAAGACTGGCATCTGGACTATATAGAAGAACTCTCAAAATGCCATCATCAGAGGGGCGCCTGGGTGGCTCAGTTGGTTAAGTGTCTGCCTTAGGCTCAGGTCATGGTCCCAGGATCCTGGGTTAGAGTCCCGCATCTGGTTCTCTGCTCAGCAGGAGCCTGTTTCTCCCTCTCTCTCTGCACCCCCCCCCCCACAAGCTTGTGCTCCCTCCCTCCCTCGCTCAAATGAATAAATTAAAAAAAACAACAACACCACAATCATCAGAGAACAATCCAATTAAATAAAGGAACACAAGATTTGAACAGATACTTCACTAAAGAAGATAGGCAAATGGCAAATAAGCACATGAAAAGATGCTAAGCAGCATTAGTTGTTAGGGAAATGCAAATTAAAACCACAATGAGCTACCGGGCCACCCGCCAACTGGATGGCTGCATTTGAAAAGATGGACCAAATCAGGAGCTGGTGATCCTATAGGGCAGCTCATCCACTGCTCCTGGGAACATAAAATGGGACAAGAACACTGCAAAACAGCTTGGCCCTTTCTCTTGAAGTTCAACATAGATTTAGTGCTATGGACTGAATGCTTATGTCCCCCTACCCCAATTCCTGTGTTGAAACTCTAAGGCCCAGGGTGACGGGGTGTGGACAAGGAGCCCTGACAGGTGATGGGTCATGGGGGCGTGTTTCCTCTCTCTCTCTCCCTCTCTCTCCCTCTCTCTCCCTCTCTCTCTCTCTCTCTCTCTCTCTCTCTCTCGCAGCAGGAGGATGGAGCAAGAATAAGAAGGTACCTGCTGTGCTCTCCTTGTGTCTCCCTAAAATCACATGTTGGGGGTGCCTGGGTGGCTCAGTTGTTAAGCGTCTGCCTTCCGCTCAGGTCATGATCCCAGGGTCCTGGGATAGATAGCCCCACATCGGGCTCCCGGCTCAGCGAGAAGTCTGCTTCTCCCTCTCCCTCCGCCTCTCCCTCTGCTCATGCTCTCTCTCTCTCTCTGTATCTCTGTGTCTCAAATGAATAAATAAAGTCTTAAAAAAAAAAAAAATCACATGTTGGAATCCAGGCTCTCGACGTGGGGGTGTTAGGAGGTGCACAAGTTAGGAGTGTGGAGTCTTATGAATGGAATGGTATTAGTATCTTGTAAAGAAAGGCTCCAGAGGGACCACGAGCCCTGACCCGATGGGAGCCCTGACCCCATGTGAGGACGCAGCGAGAAGTCCCCCAGCCGGAGAGGGCCCTCGTCCGTGCACAGCGGCGCAGTGATCTGGGCCTCGCAGCCTCCAGAACGGCGAGCAGTGAAGGTCTGTGGGTGCTCTGCTGTCCCGACTCGCCCGGGAATGCCGGCCGCAGCTCTGCCCACAGCGGCCCGGCTCGGGAACAGGCCCACGGCCGAATGGCCAGTGCTCTCTGCACCCAGAGGACTATCGCTCAGCGATCAAAAGGAAGGGGCAGCTGATACACACAACCACAGGGAGGCACCTCGGAACGGTATGGCTGAATGAAAGGAGCCAGGCACCAAAAATAAAAATAAATTTAAAAAAGAGGAGGACATACTGTATGATGCCATTTCTATAAAATTCCAGAAACAGTAAACTCATCTCCAGGACCAGGAAACAGGTCAGAGGTTATGTGGAGATGAGGGGATGGGAGGAAGGGATGATGAAAGACACCGGGCACTTTGAAGGGGGAAGGATGTGTTCACCATCTTGATTCTGGTGCTGGTTTCGTCCGTCCCCGGAGGACACGGCGGAGGGTCCACGAACCACAGAGCTGCTACTCCTGATTGTGGGACGGCTCCTCCCGCCTCTTGAATTTGCCACCTGCCCCGCGTAGGTTCACATCCTTAAGACAGCTGCGTGCCTCTCTGCGCAGAGCCAAATCCCCCACATTTAACTGGAAATCCACTGTGGACAATTGTCAGAACAGAGCTTTACGTGCAAAGCAGAGAGCATTAAAGACAGACGTGGTCCATTTGTGAGGAAGGTTCTCGATCCATCTCACCATCTTCCATCTCTCGTCAGCACGGTTCGGTAAGCGGTGCTAGAAGAACATCCCAAGCACGCCCGATGCCCACATTTTAAAAGATTCTGCCCCACCTTCTGCAAGGGAATGAGTGTACAAGGTTCTGCCCTCCCCAGCCCAGGCCTGCAGGCAATCAGCAACACCATTGGATCCCTGCGCCGGCCCAGGCGGGGACAGGTGGGGGCAGGCACGGAGCCCCATCTGATTAACAAGCTTCCAGGGGATTCTGCCAACCTGGAGACCACGGGCTGAGAGGAAGCCAGCCTGTCCCTTCGCAGGTTCTGCATCAGAGACCCACACAGGTGCTTGATGTCACCAATGAGTGAAGCTGTGTGGTCCCCGGACTGCAGGGATTCCTGCGTAGATGGGGGCCGGCCAGAAGATCCTAGGGCCGCAGAAATACATGCCCAACACCTATGGGAGCCAGAGAACAGGCGTCAACCGACTTTCCCTGGGAATTCCCTGCTGGCTTAGATGCCTCCATACAAGCCCTCCGGATGCCGCCAGCCTGTGGGGAGGGGCTGGGCAGCCCTTCGAGATGAGGGGTGTGCACCCCCTGAGTGTGCGTCCAGTCTTCATGCGTCTTTGAGCCCATCAGCATACAGGTGTGAGGGCTGCCATGTGTGTCTACTTTGGGGGTGTTCCTATGCACCAGCCATTCGTTTCTCTGGGTGTCCACTTTGGTGCATGTGTCTCTGTTCCGGGCACTTTCCTGATTCTCTGTCCATGTGCCTTGTGGGCTCGAAGCCTTCTTCCTGGTCGGCACTTGGCTCTCTCTCATGCGTTGTCGGACTTCCGTCCATGTGCCTTAGGAATTTACTGTCCAGGAGGGGAAGGGCGGGGACCCAGAGAGACTCAGGTGGATGGAAGCTGCTGGAGGCAGAGACCCTGAGGTCGGGGCGGGTGGGGGTGGGGAGGGAAGGACAGGGGGAGCTTCGCTGACCTCATTCTCCACACTCAGTTACCAAGAAAGAGACACAATGTGCCACAGGGCAGTGACCGGACGCCTGCAGGCCGCCCACAGAACAAACAGCATTCACCTGCTTACTCCATCAGCGAGAATACCCCAACAGTCAGGGGCGCCTGACTGTGCTACAGTGTGTCGGGGTCCCTCTGTGCCAGGGCATCGGGAGGAGCCCCGAAGACGGGATGGCTCCCGGGTCAAAGCCCGAAGTCCCGGGCTTTTAGGAGGAGTCTGCTGCCAATGGGGCTGCCAAGCCGGGTCCCCCACCTCCCGCTTCCGGGGACGGTGGGTTTCGTCCCAGGACACCCAAGTCACCTGCCACCACCGCTCACTCCCCATCTGCGCGAGGCAGGCTTCGGGGGGGCCCCTCCAAGCCCCAGCTACTTGCTTCTCTCTGAGGCCTGCCCCAGAGTGTGTGCGTCCACGTCCTTATAAAGCTTTAATTAACAAGCTGAAAAGGCATTTTATTTGGCAGGGGCTGACCTTCCTGCTCCGTGTCAGAATTTACTGATACCAGCAGAGACAATCATCTTGGTGGCTCCTTCACGAGGACCACGTAGTTTATAGCCACACTTTCGTCAAGATAAATGAGCTCCTTATGACTACGCTTACAGCTTTAAGCATCTTAATAGGAAGAAAAAGGGTCATAAAAGTCAAAGATAACTTCAAATTTTTCCTGCATCGGCGGAGTCCCTGGGGCAGCCTCGGAGAAGCTCAGGTGTCAGGTGTCACTGCCCGTCCATGTGCTGGGGACAGACCGGCTCTGACACCAGCAGCATGGGGTCCCCTGGCTCTCTGTGCCCAGTCTCCTCATCTGCAACAGGAAGAGATCCCGCTGCACGGGGCACGCGAGCGGCAGAGGGAGTGGGTGCCGTGGGGTCCGCATGCTGAGCACTGGGTGGTGGGGCAGGGGAGGGTCCATCCCCTCCAGCCTGCCCAGAATTAGGGAGGGACAGGACTTGTGGCATCAGCCTGTCCGGGTACCAATCCTAGCATGGCCCGTTTCTTGTTGGGCAAACCTGGGGAAGCCTCATCCGCATCCCCTGACTCTGAGATGGGATGTGCGTACTTGGCTCCACCCTCCATCAGAGTAGAACACCCGGGGGCCCAGCCGGGCGAGTAAGTAGTAAAGAAAACCAGCACTACTGTGACTCGGGCTTCCAGCCTGCGCTCCCGTCAGCGGTGTTTCCTTCTGTGTCAGAGGACAGACAGCGGAGCAGGTCTGCCTGCTGGGCTCCCCCGAACCCCAGGCTGGGGTGAGCCACGGGGCCACACCCCTACTGGGTGGAGGTGCTTTCAACCTGCCTTGTGGCGGGTCCCGCGACTGTGGCCAAGACCCCCCTGGTGGCCTCCCTGGACCGCTGGGCAGCACCGGACGCCCCACCCCCACCGGGACCCCCTTGACTCCCTCGGTCGTTCAGCAAACGTCCTGGA